TGACGTAAAGTGTAAAACAGTGGCGGCGATCGCCACTGTCACAAAAGCCTTTTCCGCGAGCTGGGCGGGCGCTGTGCATTTTGTCAAGCTAGAGATGCAGACCGTCCGCACATCCACGCGGGTGTGGGTGTCAGGGTGGGTTTAGCTGTTGGTGTGAATGTTAGTCTTATTTCATTCATACACACTCACACTCACACCCACCCCCCACACTCCCCACTCATACCCACACCCACACCCACACCCACACTCACACCCACACCCACACCCACACCCCCACTCATACCCACACTCACACCCACACCCACACCCTTCCTTAGAGTCTTCAAAATCTTTTTGAAGAAAGCTTGTTTTGTTACTCAATAATTTACAAGGCAATTTATACAAATAAACAATATACCATCAAGTCGAATTAAGCTATCTGAATACGTCTCTTATAAGTTTTTTCTTTCATTGTGTCTATTTGCAACAAATTTTCCGTATAAATACCAATATATCAATCACTTTTGGGATCATTACAGAACAGAAGAAAGAAAAGATTCTTTATTGCATAATAGTTTCACTACATCTGATACATTAAACTATGACGATCCTGACTTTTAGACATCATCCTCAATAAGACGAGTCTAGACATTGGAGTAACATAGCACCTAGGTAGTTAATTTTACATAGTGACTACTCTCGATCAAAATCATCTTCGAATGATTTTTTTGCTAAATACAATTTGAAATCAAAGATACGTACTTGTAGAACAATGTCGAAACGTGCGAAATTCGTTTTCTATGATTCACAGTCAATTTTTCGCTGTATTTATACTAGTAAAAATTTCTTGGTTTCTTCAAACATACACATCTTGTTTACGTAAATCAATGAACCATGATATTTTCGTCAAGTAGGTGCTCTCTATTTGCCTACACCGATACCCAAAGGGTGTGGGTGTGGGTGTAATGCAGATCGACACCCACACCCACACTCACATCCCAAACCCTCCCTCTTCATACCATATAAAAATTGTTCGGATGTGGGGTGTGGGTGTTTATGAAACGAAAAGACGCACCAGTATCCTCACACACCCACACCTACACCCTCAAGTCTATCTAATTTCGTTTTTTTAGCGATGGATTTCGAGTAACCACATAATTTTTGAATTCAGAGGGTCGATAAATAGTTTTCTCGTGTTTGCTTGGTTCTTGTATACTTTCAGAATTTCGATTAATGTTGTTGTAGTCTTTATTGTTCGCCCTGCTTGATATTGCCGTTGTTGCTACATTGTAATTTTTATTCGGTCTGAAGCGCGTCTGAAAATCGTCTTCCGCATTAAACTCTTCTTGAGAATATTGTGGTTCAGAAATAAAAATTTCCATTTGCCTTTGAATCTCAACAAGATCGTCTTTCAGAAGAATATGCTGATCAGCTTCCAAGATATTTTCTTGGTTTTCATTATTTGATGTTTCTACGTGATAAAAACAAAGGTTTGCCTCATGCCTTCTGAACTGAATGTGTTGTAAACGTTGTTTAACATATTCTGTACTACTCGTATCGTATCCATCAGTAAAACAGAATAAGTTACAAGAAGAAGTGGATTGCCGATCAATATGATCAAATATTTGATCGAGAGCATCAAAAATAGCGGTGCCCAGCGACGACTGACTACATTTGATGGTAGCAAGCTTATTACGATTAGAGGTGCTATCAGCTGTTATCGCATTACATTGTGGAATGAACGGTGGATCTTTGTAAAGTTTTTCATCGAATAGAAACATTTCGAATTTATCGTTC